CATGCCCACAAAACTATTTTATAGCTCGTCTCCTATTAAGGTTTGAGTGGGAATGAAGCTTGAAGGATCTGTGCATTTTCATTTTATAAGCCCTCCTTTAGAAAAATAGAAATACAGTAGGGGTTGGGGGTAAATACTCATATCTTAAGAGGAGAGCTATGAACTGCTGTACACTCTGAAATCTTTTTCTTTTCTGCTTTCACAATTTGAAACTGCTGATTAATCTGTTGAGCGCATCAGCATGATGCACCCACAAGCACTGGGGAAGCAAGAGTGTCTGTTGCCTTTCTATATTGTGTGTCCCTCAGAACTAACAACTGGAAGAGTGCTGGCTATGCAGGTACCACTACAGGCTTGTAATTGGGTCTTAATGGAGTCGAACCCATCCGGCCCTCACAGGCTCAGTCTGTCACATAGCGACATCTAGTCACAGTGAGCTGGAGAGACAAACCAGGCTCGAACCAGCTGCCCTCTTTGCAAGCTCATTTTTACTGGTGGCCGTTTGAAAGCAGAAACTTAAAAGGAGTAGGCAGAAGTTCTTGTTTCCATGCCACAGATGTTATTCTTGGCATCTTGAGAGCTTCAGGGTCATTTAGCTTCCATTGTAACTTGATTGTTCGTTTAGAAAAGCAATTGCTCACTGGGACCTCTTAAAGGCTTTAAGCGTTAGTGCCTTTCGATTTGAAACGCGTTTCCACGGACAGGTCATGGTAAAGCCGTTCCAGACCCTGAAGAGAAGATGTCTTTTCTAATAATTAGGCGATTATAAGCTGTGTCGCTCGAGGACTTGTTTTGACACCGTGTCTGCGCAAACCACCATTTCAAATGTACTGTGGATCTGTAGAGAAGTATTCCATTTATTTAATATCCTCAATTCACTGGTGCGAAACAGTGTAAAGAGTGGTACATTTTACTGATCTGAGAGAAGACCTTTAGTAGAAAGACCCTCCTATCCCCCCCTTTTATTCTATTCAGGCACAATGTAAATCCCATGTGCTTAGAATCATTCAGAACACAAACTGATAGTGTGCATCTATGCCTTACTGCAGTATGGCTCTACTAATACTGGAATCACTGGAGTCACTACTGATACTGGATACTGGTCTTGGACTCCATTTCCACAAAGCGAACATCTGGATTTAATGTGCAGTCCAAAGCAGGGACTTGTTGCTTAAGATGATTACATAATTAACGCGGATTTTGTGAACCTCTTCTCTCAGTTGCTAGGAGAGATGGTGAAGCTTTAACAACTGTGGTTCAAGGTAAAAAATGTCACTGAAAATAGAAGGCACAGTACCTGTCATCTGTAAATTGATTCATCATTTATATATCATGTAACGTGTCTTTGAAGCTACAATACGATGTGTATTGTAGCTTTTTGATTAATAGAAATGTGTTTACTGAGCCCATTAATCAAAGGTTTAAACCACTTCACCTGCAATCTCAGTAGAGCCAATGCAGGTTATTACATTTTGGCAAAACTTGTAAAAGCTTTCTTTTATCATGAAATGCAAAATAGTATTTCTCACGATATGGTGTTACAAAAGAACATGCAAATAAACCCAAACTCGAAACTGCAGGTGCTGGCTGAAGCTGTAATGATAAAAAAAAAAATGAATGCAGCATG